TTTGTGCTACTTTTTCAGTTCACCGTATAACATGTGAGCACTCTTTGGCACGCCTGCAGTGTGGTAAGATCTCATTTTCTCTATTTGAGACTTGATTTACATTTCAAACAAGCACGTTTTTGTATCTCTATCATTCTTTCTGTTTCCATTGTCAGCTGAAGGACTGGTTATCTCTGTCTACGGAGCTGATTATGGACGCCGAGACAAGACCACTTGCGTCTTTGGTCACCCGGACTCTCAGCTCCAAAACACAGTCTGCTCAAGCCCCACCAGCAAGGTTGCTGAAAGGTAGATGTTTCTGGATTTTTGCAAGCTCATAGACAGTCAAAGCATTTACTTTTATGATGGCAGCATCTTGAAATTGCAAGAGGGTGATGTCATAGTCTTCAGGTTTAATCACATCTGTTTTCACTTTTGTTTCGCCACAGCTGTCAGGGCAAAAACAGCTGTGTTATCCAAGCCTCAAACTCAGAGTTTCAAGACCCCTGTTACGGAACTTTCAAATACCTGGAGGTGGCTTACGCTTGTCGGTGTAAGGACACTGGATCTATTTCACATCAAACCATAGACAAAAATATGACATGATGTATATTATGTATGTAAAGTATCGTTATTAAATGTTTTAGCTTTACTGATTAGGTGTAAAATGCTATTTTAACCAGCCTACAGATATTTTAAAATGGTTTCTTTTTAAAATTTTAATTTGCAGTTCCTGATGCCGCTCCAGACCAGTCTGTGTAAACACACCCACACTGAAGAAGTGTTTCGGATGAAAGATGGAACGTTTCTACATTTTTTTTTGGTTTGCTTTTTTTTTTTTTTTTGAATGTCCAGTGGACCAGACTTTTTTCTACCTGGATTACTGAGCATGCATCAGGACATCCACACACTGTTCCTGCATAATCGCAAAATAAACATGTTTTAAAACTAAAAGTTCAAAGTCTGTGTCTTGTTATTGACTGTGGTTTCATTATTTTATTACTTTGTTCACGCTTCTTGATTAAAATTTAAATGATTGCACACGAGGATCTTCTACACTTCAGTTAGAACAAGATGAGGTTATTGGTTAAACTAGCTTGAAAAAGCCTCCGCCAAAACGCATTGTGGCAACAAGACTAGGTCTGTTGTAGGAAAAAAAAATGATTCCCTAACAATCGGGTGTAGATTCCTTCAAATTTATTACAAAGCTGTGGAGAACAGCCAGACCCACAGAGAGTTGATATACAGGTCCTTCTCAAAAAATTAGCATATTGTGATAAAGGTCATTATTTTCCATAATGTAATGATAAAAATGAAACTTTCATATATTTCAGATTCATTGCACACCAACTGAAATATTTCAGGTCTTTAATTGTTTTAATACTGATGATTATGGCATACAGCTCATGAAAACCCAAAATGCCTGTCCCAAAAAATTAGCATATCATGAAAAGGTTCTCTAAACAAGCTATTAACCTAACCATCTGAATCAACGACGTAACTCTAAACACCTGCAAAAGATTCCTGAGGCTTTTAAAAACTCCCAGCCTTGTTCATTACTCAAAACCGCAATCATGGGTAAGACTGCCGACCTGACTGCTGTCCAGAAGGCCATCATTGACACCCTCAAGCAAGAGGGTAAGACACAGAAAGAAATTGCTGAACGAATAGGCTGTTCCCAGAGTGCTGTATCAAGGCACCTCAGTGGGAAGTCTGTGGGAAGGGAAAAGTGTGGCAGAAAACGCTGCACAACGAGAAGAGGTGACCGGACCCTGAGGAGGATTGTGGAGAAGGGCCGATTCCAGACCTTGGGGTACCTGCGGAAGCAGTGGACTGAGTCTGGAGTAGAAACATCCAGAGCCACCATGCACAGGCGTGTGCAGGAAATGGGCTACAGGTGCCGCATTCCCCAGGTCAAGCCAATCTTTAACAAGAGACTGCGTCAGAAGCGCCTGACCTGGGCTACAGAGAAGCATCACTGGACTGTTGCTCAGTGGTCCAAAGTACTTTTTTCGGATGAAAGCAAATTTTGCATGTCATTCGGAAATCAAGGTGCCAGAGTCTGGAGGAAGACTGGAGAGAAGGAAATGCCAAAATGCCAGAAGTCCAGTGTGAAGCACCCACAGTCAGTGATGGTCTGGGGTGCCATGTCAGCTGCTGGTGTTGGTCCACTGTGTTTTATCAAGGGCAGGGTCAATGCAGCTAGCTATCAGGAGATTTTGGAGCACTTCATGCTTCCATCTGCTGAAAAGCTTTATGGAGATGAAGATGAAGATTTCATTTTTCAGCACGACCTGGCAACTCTCCTGACCTGAACCCCATAGAGAACCTGTGGGATATTGTGAAGAGAAAGTTGAGAGACGCAAGACCCAAAACTCTGGATGAGCTTAAGGCCGCTATCGAAGCATCCTGGGCCCCCATAACACCTCAGCAGTGCCACAGGCTGATTGCCTCCATGCCACGCCGCATTGAAGCAGTCATTCATGCAAAAGGATTCCCGACCAAGTATTGAGTGCATAACTGAACATGATTATTTGAAGGTTGGCGTCTTTTGTATTAAAAACACTTGTCTTTCATTGGTGAGATGAAATATGAAATTCACTGCCTCTTTTCTTCTCTTCTGCAGATCCAGGAGTTTCTTCAGAGCTTTCTGTGTAACAATGAAATGGTTCTACAACAGAAATGAACTGTAAAGAAAATTTAATATTTTATTCCAGATACAAACCAATGTTAATATATCGGTACACTTTAGACCCTTAAACCTTGCGTTTTACTTTCAAAGACAGAATGATCTTTATTTGAGTAAAATTAATTTGTGTGTGGGTTCATCCTGGGAATAATGTGCTTTTCTTGTCTGTTGTAAAATTCATTTTAATCAGTACATTTAAATATTGAAGCTTTTTGTGTTGACAGACGAACACAACTTGGAGCTGGTGAGCTGCTTCACATGAATGGGTGCGAAGACTAAATTAACTACCAAATGACAGTCAAGGTACTGGTGTCTTTGGAGAGGTCCGTCTTTGACGGGTAGACAACTTTCAGGTTCCCGTCCTGGTCAATGGTTCGGACCTGCTGGACGATCAGCTGGCCGCAGGTTTCAGAGCTGGCTGCAGGTTCTGGTGCGCTGTTGTCCTCCCCGTCTGATCCGACCTCCTCCCGATGCTCTGCAGTGAATTTATTTAACTCTGACATTTTCTGTGCAAGAAAAAACAATAAAAAAACAAACAGGTAAATAAAGAAGTGGCTCTTTAATTTGATCTGTTTTATACGACACATTCTATTAAAAAATCACCTCCAGAAATCACTGTGGGACAGTTTTGTTTAAAAAATAGGAAATTTAAAATCATATATTTTTCATTATTTTAACATTTTTCCATAGATAACATACAGCATTTTAGATAACGTAAAAAACATATTAATTTGTGAAACACCATACCGACTTCTTGTGATTTAGTTGAAAACTAAAAACTGTATTTACTGAGTAATGTGGTCACACCTCTGTTGTGAAATAAAATTCTTGGCAGGAAACCGTCTTGTCCAACAAATGAAACAATTCTGTTGAGTTTTGCTTTGAACAGTTAATTGCTACTGTGAGTTTGGTTCTTTCTCATAAAACTGTTTATTCTGTGAAACACTGCAGTCTTTCTTTCCAACTTCTCTGTTTCAAAGTGCACAAGATTGTGCACCATTTAGGTGTGTTGTAGCTCTGTCTTTCTTCAACAGGTGATTATTAATTTAAAAAAAAAGACACTGGATATCTGATCAACAGCAAAAAAAAAAAAAAAAATCGGGGTTTATTGAAGAGCAGTTGCTTAAAACAAAACCCCACAAACGTGCACAGATCTCTTAGAACCTTTTTTGTAAGTCACACCACATCTCGTTTCTCCTCGACACACACCATAATAGGGCAATGTTCTGCTCTGCTGGGAATGCACAAGCCTCGCACTTCCCATAAAGTAAACACACGTCTTACTGTCCACACGTTAACAAATAACAGGCCTCAATGCAAACTTCAGCTTAAGTTTCCCTTCCATGTTTGGTGGTGAGAATCTTGCATGCATCCCGTATGCGAGCAGCTTTCATGGACATATAGAATAACATGAACTGATTTAATCATCACTTTTATTTAACCAGATTAAAAAAAAACATTTAAATCAAGGTCTATTTTTCAAGGGTGACCTGGCCAAGAGGTCAACAGCACACATAATATAATAATCAAAACAATACATATGGGATAAAGCAGTATTATACCCACTTAAATGGATTAAAGGTGCAAGGCAAAGCCTAACACTGATCTTAACAGTGACTACAACAATGGTTGAGAGGGCAAGCATGGACAATAAGGAGAAGAAAGCATAGGCAACTGTTAAAACAGACAATGCGTAAATAGGAATGATTAATAACCTTTGCATCATTTAAAGGTCTTACTAACACGGTCTTTTAGGATTGAACTGAAGGCTACAAAAGAGACGAGTCTTGGCAGTTTCAGATCTGTAGGATGTTTCACGCTGAGTGGGCAGCAAAGCTGAATGCTCTTTCTCCCAACTCAGTTCTGACATGAGGAACTGGCAGAAGGACAATGTTTTTAGAGCGTAAGATGTAGTGGCTGTTAAGATTTTTGAAGAAATAAGATGGGACTAAGGCCTTGTAGATTACCATAGTCATCCAGAGTATATATGCATGCAGTAAAAGAAGAGCAGCCAGATTTGGAGTACAGCTCACAGTGATGAGTGAGGTGACACTAACCAGTGATGATGAACCTCTGAGTTCTGTGGTAAAAACTGTTTATGGACTGCAGAGATATGGATGGGGCACTCGTGTACATCACATCACCATAGTCCAGTAAGGGAATAACAATAGCAGCTACTAAGGTGTTCCTTACCCGAGTGAAAAAACAGGATTTATTTTTTCAAATAAAAACCCAGCTTCAGCTTAGTTGCCAGATTAGCAATGTGAACTTTAAATAATAGCTCACAATCAAGAAAACAATCCCAAGTATTTATGATTTGAGACCAGCTCTATACGTTTTTCCTGCAGTTAGAATTGACATGATGCCGTCTGTCCATCAATCCAGTAGGCTTGTCACCAAATGACCAATCATGGATGGCAATTTGTCCCAAAGTGAAATGCCTCTTACCTGCAGGAGCTGTACCCCTTTGTTTCCTCCATCGACATTGTCAGGATTTTGCATTACGGATGCTTGGAATAAAAATTTCGTGAAAAATCCTCAGAAAAAAACGATTAAACGTCAATGCAGTTCAAACAGCGTTACACTGAGCGTTTAGAGGATGTAATACAGTTTATTCCATTTCCAAATCCTACAAGGAGTCTGGAAAAATGTCAGAGATGATAAAGGCCAGCAGCCGACCTCATGAGCAGCTGAATACAACAGAGAGCGACGAGAACTACCTCACGTTTGTCTGTACCACGGTAACTGCAAGTAAATCCTCCTCTTGTCATGATTAATGGTTAAATTAAAGGTTAATGCTTAAAGCTAGTTGTGCTTTTTTGTGTGTTTTCTGTGTAGATATATGTTGCAACTTCTGGTTGCACAAGTTTAGTCTTTGTTATGATCAGTTAAAACTAAACTGCTTTTGCACAAAGTGTTTTAGGCTGTGTAATGTAAAATTTACACTTAATAAATACTGAATTTCTCTGTAAATTCTTGCCCTGTGTCACTCTGAGGCATGAAAACATCCACTGTAGTAACTATTTTAAGTTAATAGTGTCTTTAAAAACGTTTTTTTTTGCCTGTCGTCATCACCTTAATGTTGGCTGATAAGGAAAAAATGCCTCAACAAATGCCTCAGGTAACTGTGAGCTTTTCTGCCATTACAGCCATCTTGTTTGTTTGTCAGAGGTCATCACTCACCCTGGGTTACATTTTTATATTATTTCTGCATTATTAAATATGGCGTCATCAGTATAAAAATGATTAAAAGCATTTGACAAACACACAGATCATTGATATAAACTGAAAATGAAACTGGACCCAAAACTGAACCTTGGGGCACCCCTTTGACAATATCCAAAAGGGAAGGGGTGGATCCTGCTACCTGAACACATCGTTCTGTTGGTCAAATAATTTGTAAACGAAACTGTGTCCAACAATTTTCAGTCAAATCATCTGGGCAGTTTCTTTTTTTTTGTTGTGCTGAAACATTTCACTTTCCATCCAGAAGGCTTCATCAGTCAAGGAAACACACAACACAAAACTGATTCTTCCCCCAACAGTTTACTCCAAAGTGGAACAAACCAGTTATGTTGGTGCTAAGATGGTCTCTTTGGCATGCCCCCTCCTCCGGTGCTGGCCCTATTCCTCGTCGACAGTTATGTCAAACTGGTTCAAAACCAACAAAGCCCATGCTCAATAATCCAGGTATACAATCCAACAATTTTCAGTCAGGTCTGTGCGTTTTGATAAACCTGTGTATTCTAGGATACTTAACAGAAGACTGTGATCAACCATGTCAAATGCTTTGGTCAAGTCAATAAAAACTGCAACACACTTTTTTCTGCAACCCAGAGCCTGTAATTTTTTTTTTTTAAACTTTAAGAACCGTTGCAACAGTACTGCGCTGTTTTCTAAAACCTGACTGAAATGGTGATAAAATGTTATTCGACTCCAAAAATTCATTCAGTTGATCACAGACAAGCCTTTCAAATAACTGAACTAAAACAGATAATTTAGAAATTTGTCTAAATTGTCCCAAGGTGTGAGTGAGACAGTGAATGGTTGTTTGTCTCGTTTGTCTCTGCGTGTCCTTGTGATGGACTGGAGACCTGTCCAGGGTGTCCCCCACCTGTCACACAGTGATGGCTGGATATGGGCACCAGTGACCCTTGCGACCCGAAAAGGAAGAAGCGGGTAAAGATAATGAATGGATGGTCTGTAATTGTTTACATTTATCAGTTCACCCCCCCCCCCTTTAGCAGAGGGAGAAAATAAGCTGATTTCCAGACTTGAGGTATTTCATTAGTGTTAAGACTCAAATTAAAAATAAGTGAGAGGTTCGACAAAAAAATCAGCAGCAGGTCTTAGAAAAAAAGGGTATGATTTTATCATGGCTGCTTTACATGTGTCAACCCTTTTTAGAGCATTCTGAACCTCAAAGGCAGGCACAGATACAAACTCACAGTGTAGATTACAGGTTTGCTCATTGGGAACCGATTTATCGGTTGCCAAAACAATGAGGTCTAAATCAACCTGTACAAGTGCACAAACCTTTGATTAGTAGGTCGTTTGTTGTTCAAATCTATTGCTTTGCATTAACTAAAACACATATTGCTATAAATTGTTGTTGAAATCGCTCCTCGTTTGTATAAACCCCCTTCGTAAGCTGAATCTTTCATTTTCTGCTTGCTTACGTTGTAAATATGAATCTTTTCATATACAGTCCTTTATCTGCAGTAAAAACGTTTTTCAATGGATATCCTGATGCATGCTGTAGAAAAATCTAAAAGTTACATCAGGTCCTCTGGATGGGTACAAGTGGAATAGCAAGTGGTCATCAGGGCACTAATGACCAATTATTAGGGTAATGATCCTCCTTTATCAAGTGAACAGCTAGTTCTGGATGTCAACAAACTAGTTGAGCCAAAAGTGATATTTATAAGACAGAGTGGACATTCCTCTACTGCCACCTTCAGGACAAAGCACAACTTGATGCCTCAACCTGAAATTTTATTTTGCAATTAAAAAAACCCCAAAAGAAAACATGTAGAAGGTAAGAAAAGGGGAATCTTACAACAATCAGAGCATCCATGACATCTTTACAGGTCTGCAAGTTGGTTGCACTGGTCACCTCTAAGAACAGTTCTTTGGTCGTCTTTTTGATCTGAACATGAAACGTGAGCTCGTTAATTTGATTACGTCATGAAAAAAGACGCGCAACAGAAGGTGGCTTACAAAAAGACAATTGAGTTAATAACAAAAGCTGATATGCCACATATTTTTTTTTCTTAAGCCTCAGTTTCATTGTTTTCTGTCCAAAACATTGAAAGTACATCATTCAACAATGTCAGTGCACATTAAACGGTATTCAGTCAGAAAATACCTTGGTTTTCTCACTGTTGGTGATGGGTGGGAATGAAATCACATCTCCCTCTGCATCCACTAAACAGGGGTAGAAGGATTTTCCTTCTAAAAGCTGCAGGTATCTGTAAAAAACAAATGGTGAACTACTGTAATCAGCAGAGGAAAAGTTTATGGGTTTTATATGAAACATCCTACTTTAGAATATTCCCAGTATGCTAAGTTTTAAAGCTGCTGGGAATTACGTCAGCTGTAATATCCATCCTGTGTTAACGTCAGGGGAAATATAACTAACTTTCCCCCAGCAGCATCTGTCTGTGGAAGAGTCACAGGTGGTACTGACTTGTGTAGGCCAGTCACATTCTGCCTCTTCTTCTGCTTCCGAAGCTCCTCAGCCTCTAAATGAAGGTTTCTGATCAGCTCGACAGCAGTCGTCTGCCTCCGGCCCAGCGGCACGATCTGACAAGACACGTTCGAGATTAAAACTTGGACATTTTTCAATGACAACTAAAGCTAGCCTGTTTTTTCTGTCACTCACAGTATTTTAGAAAGTAAATGAGTCTTTAGCAACAAACCTTTAGCTGTGTTGGTGGTTTCACACCATAAACTAGTGGAGCTTTGAGAAGCTGCGCATCATGGGTTGCGATAGTTGCAATAGTTCTTTTGCCACACAGATCATCATGAAGTTTTGTCTAAAAACAAACACAATTATTGGCGATCAGTTCGTTTAGGTTGTGTAATAAGTGGCCTACTATAACCTAATTTGAAACGTTCTGCTTTTACCTGAGCCATCAGGAACCTTTTGAGAGCGTTCCCCGCTTTGAGGTTCATGCCTGTGACTATGCAGCACACCAAGTACGGCCGAACTTCTTTAACGTCAGCGCTGACTTTAACCGTGAGCGCCGTGGGTGCATCTGAAACATGGAGCACCCTCACCACCATCTTGTTCAGCTCCTCCACCTCGTCCTGCTCCTCGACTTCTTTTCCTTTCTTCTTCCTCTGCTGCTGCTTTTTCTTCTTGTCAGTGCTGCGTCCTCCATCCGCGTCGCCACCGTCGTCCCCTTGTCTTCCTCGTCCTTTCCCTCTGAGGTATTCCAGGATGGACTTGGTCTGACACCCATTCACCATCTTCTCAAGCCGCTTGTCGCTCAACTTGTTGCCCTTGAAGTTGATCTCCTTTAACTTGGGGCAGTCGCTCAGGTGAGGGGGAATCTCAGTCAGCTTGTTGTTTGAGACATCGAGCACCTGAAAAAGACACGCATGAGGCGGACGAAAATTAAGTGAATGAGTTGAAAAGAGCATGTTTATTCATAGCCACGGGAAAGTGTTTTAAACAGGCAGTGCTTCAAGAATGTGTAAACATTTACTACCCTAAACAAGAATGCAACCAAAAAGGTACTTACTTCTGTAAAGTCACTTAAAGGAGAAATTGTCATAGTCATAATAAAAATATAATTGATGTATGTTTACTGTCTGCCACCTAAGATGTCTGCGTGTGCTGAAACCTTCAAAAACTACTGTAATGACTGGATGAACATCCACAACTGATCAGGTGTTAAAGAGACAAACCGATTTAAGTCAGTCGTCACTAGGCATGTCGCAATAAACAATTAAATGAATCAATCGCATGATGAATGAAAATTATCGAACTCATTTTCATTTATCGGCTTTTTCGTTTCTTCGCGTCTCTCTCTTTCTACTGAAGACACTGGATGACAAAAGGCTCAACTCCGGGGCTCCTCACTGACCCCTCCCTTTTTTTAAATCTGTTTTAACCGTCCAAAATCGTGTTTTTAGATCATTAAAAGCCGCTAAGCTGAAAAGCTAAGCTACAAGCTAAGCTAACAGGCCGACCTTGGGGAAAAAACCTCCGCGTTGTCGAAGCTCCAAAATTCACGGTTGAAACCCGCGCCTTTGTCAAAAAAGTTGTTTTTCTCTGCAAAAAGAAGCTGAGAACTTGTTTACTGATTTTTTAAATTTTTTTTATTAAAAGCTTTGTGTGACAAATGCTATGCTAAAGAGCTCGACCCACCCAAAGCGTCCGCCATTTTGAGAACCGAAAAAAAATAAAATAAAAGGAGAGAGAGATAGCCCATGTCACGTCAAGGGGGCTCCCTCCCATTTTTCTTAAAGACACGTCGCTTGCTCCCTCACTATCCATCCTTTGGTTCAAAGTCTTATACTGCCATCCAAAAAAGGTATTACACACAAAAATTAACCAACATTTCTTCTTAAATTTGACAATAATTCCTAATTATTGTCAAATTTCAAACAATATTATCGTTTATCGCAATAATTTCTGAGACAATTAACCGTTCAGCAAAATTTGTTATCGTGACAGGCCTAGCCGTCACAGCAAAGTGATCTTAGTAAACACAGAAACAGCTATAACGCAGTCACTTTTTACAGAGACAGAGCAAAACTTTGGTGCGTTAGTAGCTGGAACTAATCCTCAACTTGTACTTTGAGTGCTAACCTAATCTATGTGCATACGATCATGCGAGAAAGCGCATGAGATCGGGCATAATGTTATTATATAAGTTTAACCTAAATGGTTATAACTCTTGTCATTTCTCAACGTAAAACGATCTTAGTCAAAAACTTTTACATGAAAGGCAGAAAGTGAAATGTACTCCTTCAAGGTATGATATGCTTCTGATTTTTAAATTTGTTTTGGTTCTTTACTTTTAACAAATGTTTTCTTGTCATTCCTAAAGGAGTGCTGTAGCACCCGAGCACCCGTAGTTCCCACGGCCTTGTTTTTTTTGCGTATATATATATATAAAAAAAAAAACGTCCTGAACTAAAGTTTGCCCACCTTCAAAGCAGACAGCTTGTGAATCTCTCCACTCAAGTTTTCGATTAAGTTATCAGAAGCTACCAGGGTGTTCAGCAGGTCCAGCCGTTCAGTGTAAAGATCAGGAGGGAAGCTGGTCAGTCGGTTCTTGGAGACGTTGAGGACGGAGAGCTTGGAGCACTGGCTCAGTCCATCCGGTAGAACCTCCAGAGAGTTACAGCTTACGTTGAGAGTGTTCAGCTCTTTTAACTGAGTGATCCCGACTGGTAATGATGTCAGGTTGTTGACGGAGAGATCCAGGACCTTCAGGGACTTCAGGATGCCGATGACTTTTGGGAAGGTGCTGAGCTTGTTTCTACACAGAATGAGGCTTTGGAGGTTGGTCAGACGTTGGATGTCCTCGTGGATCTCTGTCAAACTCGGGCACTGACTAACTTCCAGATAATTCAGCAGTGTGAGGGAATAGATGGAGGAGGTCAGACCGCCGTCCGAAGAAATTCTCTTGTCAACAGCAGCGCCCTGTAAAACCAGTTCACGCCTTTTCTCTGTCGCTGCCTTTTCTATCTCTGGCCATTTCCCCATGTCATCCATGCTGCTGCTGCTACAGAGAACGAATAAAGCTAGCTAAGCTAAACTCGGCTTCCTTTACAATATTTTCAAAACAAGAGACTCACTGTTAAGATATCGCTTCTTAGAAGATAAATATGGTGCTTAAGTACATCAATTAACTAGTAAAATACTTAAAACCTATTTTAAATATTAAAACAGTTTAATTTATCTTTTCTGCCAAATAATTACATGTCAAGCTTTTATTTTGACAGCTCCATCATTAACTTCCTTTTGTTTTGAAACGTTGACGTATTAAGAAATTATGAGTGTTTTCAAATCAGTCTTTTTATCTTTACTTTTTCCGAAATCCACAATCCTTAACTCAAACAAATAAACAAAAACATTGTACAAAAACTAGAATAAAACTAAAACTACATAGACCACAATTCTTTGACCCTCCAACCTTTAAATCAAGGAAATAAACTGAAAAACACCATACAAAATATGTATAAAAACAACTCAGATAGAAATAAGAGATACGTAGACTGTATTTTTTGAGAACCCAATCGCCAAATTAAGTAAATAAACAAATATAACACACAAAAATTCCCCACCCCAAGGAAGTTAAACTACATAGACCACAATTCCTTGAGACGGACATTGGCTACGAATGCGCATGTCAGGAACGGTTGTTGTGGGTGGTGGTTATGGAGATGAGATGGAGCTACCAGCTGTCCACAAAACGGTGAAATTGCTGGTAACGTATCTTTGAAAATGGCAATAAAATACCCATTTACTCAAAACTGTACACTTGCAGACGAAATGGCAATGAAAAATTTGTAGGTACTGATTTTTTTTTTCTTTAGCTGCTGAAATTTTCTTCACAATGCAGGTACTGTTAGACGAAGAGATTAGCTAACCCCCTGCTGAACTTAATTTAAATCAGTAAAAATGGCTTCCATGTGCTGTTTAGGAATGTTGTGCAAATAATATTCGGTTTATGTCATATGATTTAAGTGACCTGTGTGCCAAACCCTGTGCGCTATCTTAAACCTTGATATTTTGGTAGTTTCTTGTACAGCTTCGAGTTAACACTTAGCTAATTTTTTTAAGCTTTGGCTCACTTTATTGCTGCCTGCTCAAGAAGATGGTGCATTTGGAGCTAGATTTTTTATTTTTTTTTGCCAAACTTCAATAATTTCGCACTAAACGTATTTGATTAGCAAAGCTTTCAGATTATTATAAATTTAAGAGGTTTTCATTACATAATCTTAACCTAAACTTTATAAGGGTTTAATTAACGTAGGTGACCCCTCTGTTTTTGCATTAAACTGAATTAATTCATTAACTTTGACTGGACTGGTAAATATTATTAGTCCTAGCTGGATGTCTCCTAGAATTTCTAGAATTGTTCAGAACAAATGCTAATATATTAATACAGATGAATTAGAAATTACTAAACTAATACATTATCACTTTACTTGGAGGATTAATCTATAATACTTTAAAATGAAATTGTTCTTTAAAAAAATTAATTAAGAGCACTTAAATACTGAAACACTAATCAATAAAAGCACTGTTAAACATGTAGATTTAAATCTGGAACAATTTTAACATTAAAATGTATTTAAAAAAAAACAATATTAATGCCACTTTGTTGGCTGAACTCTTGTGATGGGGACGACACTTTGGCTCTACAGAAATTAATTCTGATACTTGTGTATATAAAAGTGTGTAGTACTTCCTTGGTTTGAACAGGAGTCTGCAGTAGCTTGTTGGTCAGTGCCACAGCCTGCAGAAGATAGAAGCTGAAAGAAAAATCACATTTTTTGGTTTAAATTAGTCATCTAGTAGGAAACTTCACTTTATTTGTGAATCACTGGTAGTACAACAGTGCCAGATTCTCTTTTTAAATCACTTTAACCAGTTATCACAGTCCAGATTTGTAACATATTACGACTGATTGATATTTAATGTGTTTTCATGTATATTAAAAGTGTAACAAAATGCTTGTTTCTTGTTAGTGTCCATCAGAGGGATGCCCAAGAAGATAGGATTCATTGTGGTTAACTCTTCAAGTCATGAGGACAGCTTCAGTGCTAAGGAACTCATGGTCCATGCACCCACAGTCAACGGCTGGAGATCCAGCAGGTACAATAGTTTATCATCCTAATAATTTTAGAGAAATTTTCTCCAATCTAGACATACAGTAAAAGCTTTTTGAAAGGGTCATATGGGGAACAAAATGAAATAAATAAATGTTTTTAGCCCTATAATAGTATTTACTTAAGATACAATATGGAATTACTGGTATAATAAATTCAATTAAATTCAGTTTACTGTACTAAATAGTGCCAAGTCACAACAGAAGTTGTCTCAGGGCACTGAACAGAAACATTCACATACAGTACATTATAAAAGCCAATTAGTAAAAGTTATCTAACTACGCAGATTTTGTTGAATCTTCACTTTATCGCAGTCTCTCATCCCGAGCAAGAACAAAACAACAGCGGAAAGAAAAACTCCCCTAAATAATAACCCTTCCTAAATAATGAGGGAATCTTCTAACTCTTCTTCTACCTTTCTTAAAATCATAATATGAAGCACATTAAATATTTTTTATACAGTATGTTGTTTTTTTTATGTTGAACTTTATTTTGTCCTTTCTTTTTCAACCAATTGAAACTTCTGTATGTTCTCCAGGTTGTGCTCCTATCCTCAGTACATCACCCTCCAGCTGGTGGAAAGAAGTAGGATAAAAAAGCTGCAGCTTCTGGCTCACCAGTACCTGATCCCAGCAAAGGTTGAATTCCATATTGGAGACAGTCTTCTTGAAACCAGTCCTTCAAGGCCTCCTGGACAGCTTCACAGACTTGGGTTAGACTGCAACTATATCAAGCATACATTTTTGATGTTTTAAATGCAAAGTGGGCATTGTAGAGATTTTTTTACAACTTTTGGGACTTGTAGGGCCCCAGTCCACTCATTATATGTCCTCAATTTATACTTTGAGTTGTGATCAATTGGTCGTCCTGTACTTCCTTCAGAATACTGTACTGAACATTTCCCCAACATTTTTGTCATCTCTGTTTAAGTGCTTGACTTTGCTAAACAAACTGAACCAAGCACCGGTTTCTGCCTTCAGTTACCCAACAAATCTGTCAGACCAGACACCTGTTTTGTTTTTACTAACTTTCTGTGGTTCCTGAGTTATTTGAAACAAGTTATCTAGATGGATTTTTCTGTTAAAGATGATATTCATTCAACCTTTATTTAGACAGGTAAATTCCATTGAGCCTCGAGGACTCATTTACAAGAGAGACCTATATGCTTGTTTGCTGATAATTCTAGTTTTTTCAAGAACATAAAAGTTACATTGACAAGTCAAACGTTAAAATAATTAGATTATTTTATTAAATTTTGCACTGTATGTCTGTCATTTGAGTCTCCCAGCTGAGCAAGTCAAATTAAACAACAACCTTGGTCTCTCACAACAGGTACGTATCTCTGTCAGATAACGAGAAGACGGGTTTTAAAGCTCGGGAGCTGAAGTCAGTCCATGTGGATGCCTTTGGAATGTATCTGAGAATAACTTTCCACAGGAACCATAACAACCGTTACAATCACTACAACCAGGTACTCATTTATTAGAATAAGTCCCATCTTGCATGGCCTGGTAGTGCTCTAGATATCAAACAGGAAGTTGTGTTTAATGCAATTTAACACGGTGTTTTCTACCATTACAGTATGACTAATATTCCAAAAAAGTTCAATCAGGTCCTCTGGACATTCAAAATAAACAAAAGCAAAACAAAGCAAAAGAAATCTAGAAACGTTTCGTCTCTCATCCAAGAGACTTCCTCAGTCTGAGGTGCTGTTTTCAGCTCAGTCTCTTAAATAGCACCTTCTCAGAGTGGATCAACCAGTTTGCTGCTGACAACCAAAACCAGCTGATCA